CACCTTGGTAATAAAAATTATATAATAACTGCAACTAATTATTATATCTCGTTATAAAACATTTGTCTTATTTTTAGAACTTGTTTTGCGCACCGACTCAACTCAGGTATCTCCTAAATGAGAGTACTGTATCCATCCCCTTACTATAGTGCCGCATTTGTAAATCAATAAAACACGTGGTTGTTTTCTACTGAGTCCATCCCGATTTGGTAGGAGTAAACAATGCCGATCTTTTGGAGGGGGTAAGCCAAAATGCCCACTTTTTTTAAAATTATGGTAAGAACAACAAAAAAACCAATAGGAGAGCACCAAAGGAGCGTGAATGTTCTTTACTTCAATTAAACTCTCTGCCCATGACTTGTACAGTACTTACTTTTTTTGGTGAGTGATAAACTCTGAGCTTGTCGGCAGATAGTGTATGAGAACTACCTCTAAACGACAAGTGCCGTGTTGCAAGGAACAGTGAGTGATAAACTCTGAAACAAGTTGGCAGGTAGCGTATGAGAACTACCTCTAAATAACAAGAACTGTCTTGTAAGCCATTTTCCCATGTCTTACGATTTAAATCTCAACATTTCATTGAAGTGCCCCGACATCTGGTGTTTTTTCTTGTAAAAAATTTTTGGGAAGTGGTGGTCCAGATGATCGTCAGAAAGAGTTGTGAAAATCTCAGAGTCAAATAGATTATATAAGATTGCATATGTAACAGCATATTGATTTTTTGTAAATTGCTGTCCAAACACTTTTTTGGCAACTATCTAAAGATATGTTTTGTCTTCTTCTTCAATTACTGTGTCCAGGTTTTGAAGACACCACTGTACTTCACTGCTTGACTTCCAGCTAACTATTTCAGCTTCAGAACTTTCAGAGTTAACAGTTGATAAAACCTTTTTTTAAAAACATGATACTTGCAAGACTTAGCGCTAATCTATATTCAAGATTAAAAATAAATAAATAAATAAATAAATAAAACTATATGATTATAATAACTACATATAAAATTGTATTATTTACCAATTTTTGATTTTATCAAATAAAGCTTCCCATTTAGTATCTTTCTTATATCGTTCCATTTTATCTGGACAAAGTGCTACAAGCTCATTTCGAATAGTTTGTTTATAAATTCTATCACCAGGATAAAGCCAATTATCGACAGCAGCCTTGATTTCTTGTGTTGCTCCTTTCTGTAAATAAACTGAAAAATTCAATAAATTTTTATAAAATTGGCAGAATTCTAGATATCTATGTTGATATTATCTATCACCCATTCATTATTCATAATATCGTAGTAGATATGAATAATATCAATACAGCTTATTAGGTTTCCATTGTTTTAGCTTTTAATTTTGTAAAAATTAATATTCAAATATTGAAAACTATAAAATCAATTTCTATTCAGTAATTATTAATACGTAAACAAATGAAGTTAATATACAAAGGAAAAAACTCTTTCTGTCTATCACTTGTATACAAATTTTTCCTAGCTTAAATATTTTAAAATACTTTATAGCTTTATTTTCTACTAAGTTAACTTTAGTTTTGCTACTAAATAAACTTATTCGTAATAAAAAATACATATAATACTTTAATATTAAACTAAAAACTTCTAAAATCATTGAGAAATGGCCATTTGGACTTTTTTCTTACATTTTATTTAATAACTCCAAAACGGCCATCTAAACATACTCTTTGGACTTGGAAAAACTTAAAGAGCTCACAATTCCCATCATAACAAGCTAAATTTCAAGCTTGTAGACCTAAAACTGACAGAAATATATCTTAAAAATCTTTTAAACTCCCCTAAGTTTTTCTCTTTTTTTCTCTAAGGGAAAAAACTCTATAGGCGTTTTCCGTGCAATATTAACTATTTTTAGACCATAGTACCCACGTTTTTAACTACTCAAAATTAGTGGTTCTCTACTAATTACAC